TAATTATAAATAAAATAATAATAATATTCAAATAACTTTAGTTGTGCAGCTGCAGGACACTACATAACAATTTAAAACCTTTTTGACATATTTTTTTTATTTTACGCAATAATAATAATAATTTTGGTTGCGCAGCTATTACTATGTAAACAATTGAAAAAACGTTTTTTCGGATTTTGACGTATTTTTTTATTTTGCCCAATTACAAAAGTAATAATTTTGGTGTAACAATTGAAAAATGGTTTTCGGATTTTGTTTGACGCAAACGCAAATCAGGTTTATAATAAAAAGTAATAATTTTTAAATTTGTTCCAAGTATATATTCCTCAAAAATTAAACAATTGGATCTTATTTATTATCAGTCAGACAAGATTTCACGTTTACTGATTTTACTATATAAATAAACATAAACGAAACGAACATATATTAATATAAACGAAACAAACATATATAATAATAAAAAATATACAAAAAATATATATAATAATAAAATATATACAGTGTGTTGCAAAAAATCAAATTAATTAATTTGTATAGAAATATTTCCATTAGATACATAATATATATTTATTTATAAAAATTAGAATTATACATACAGTCAACCCCTCTAAATGCACACCCTCTCTAAATGCACGCTCATGAGAAATAGTAACATGTTCCCAAGGAGGGTGCACTTAGAGGGGGTTGACTGTATTTGGGGTTTTTTTTCTGTGTATTAAAAAAGGTGGTGGTGGTGATTATTGATCTATTACTCGCTACCCTAGTTAAAATGGATAAGATAAATTATCTTGAGACCTGAGATTTATTGATAAATAAAAGATAATATTGTTATTTCTAAAAAAAACAATTGAAGATTATAATTAAAACATTAAAACAGATTTTTTTATCTTAGAATTAATGCGAAATGTAGTCTTCTGAGACTTTTGCTGAATGTATCATTTGATCTAATAAAATCTAATTGAAATGTACTAAAAAAAAATACCAACATATTATTAAGATTTTTACAAATCTCACACAACTACAAATAACATTAACAGTTAATGATAAAATTTTCACAAGATACATTGGATCAATTGCCAATCGTTTTTTTTTTTTATTTATAATAATATATGTTTTTTAAAGCATTATTCTAAAAATATATTGGACCTGAACGTCACGCCTCGTTATATTGAATCATTTTTTTTTGCAATAATTATTATAATTTTTTATTTGACCAATTCATTAAAAAATTTAATTACATGTACATATTTGTTTTTAATTATAATAAAAGTAACAAAAAAGGGGAAGTGAATAATTAATTAATATTAATATGTATATAAAATAGTAATCGTCAGTTTTATTTAATAATTATTGTGATGTTTTGCATCACCAGAAAGTTTCGTTGCAGTGCCTTCATTTTCCATTCTTTTATTGCCCAACACATGGCCAACTTTTTCTTTGGTGGTACCAGTTGCTTTTTCTTTTGTACCTTTAGAAAAAGAAGTAAAAAAAAAATTTTTGAATATTAAATTAAATGAAAATTTTTTCGCAAAAACAAATAAATTATTGTTTATTACCTTCGTTATGACCTTGAATTTTAATGGCTTCACGTTCACCTTGACCTATAATTATTATAAAAAAACTATTAATCGCTTTTTTTCCACAAGCTGTGGTGATAATCAATTCTTATTATCTATTATTTTTTTACCTTGTAATTTTAATGATTCGCCTTCAAGTTTCATTTTTTCATTACCCAACGTTTTACCGAGTGATTCTTGGGCAGCACCCTTATAATATTTCAAATTAGCATTGGTTTTTGTTGGTTGTTGGTCTTGTTGGTCTTGATAACCTTGATGACCTTGATGACCTTGATGGTCTTGTTGGTCTTGATAGTCTTGATTGGTTTGATGTTTGCGATCAGTCATTTTGATTGATGAATAAATTATTAATAATAATAGTGATTTATTTTCAAATTATTTGTTATTTGTTATTTGTTATTATTTACTGTTTTATTTTGATTTGTTTTTACTGAAAATGAAAATTTCCTCGAGGTATTTATATTTAATATCGTTACAAACATTACAAATGGTGATGTAATAAAATTACATCATTAATTTACGATGATCGTCGAATAAAATACAAATTTGGATTTTTTGTGGCTAATAGAATATAATATAATAAAATGGATTAGATAAGGTCGAATATGAATGCATATACTAGTGATTGCGTATTTGTTCGTAATTATTAAGTCAATACTAGTACTAGTGATTCAAATAAAGTGGCATATATCTAACTGTATTAGTTTTTAAAATGTCACGATAATATTTGGAATTGTTCGTTCATCAAATGATTATGACGTAGTCCTTTATATATAGATATGGATATTTACGAGTAAATCAGAGGTTCCAGGATTTTAAAAAGGGAAATATGACGGCAAAATATACGCGAAGGAAAAGAATTTATATTTGAATAAATGGAAAAAAACTAAGAAATTGGGGATTAATGATGCTAATAAAGAAAGAATAAAGGCAATTTTGAATATTCCCTTTAACTTTGCTGGATACGGAAATATTTCTTCTTGGTCTGCCTCCAATGGTAATATGTACAAAGTATTCCCAGATAGATTCACTTTCGTTTCAATTAGTTCACAAATTTCTTTAAACCTTTGAAAGATTCTTCTCCGAGAAATTAACGATGATAACTTTTTACAATGTATGTTTTACAACCCGACTTTAACGGTACCTTCTTCTCTATGATCTTCCAATTCTAAATTGCGGTACATCATAATATATAGTCTTCGATGATGTAATAACAACATTTATAAATGTATATTTTACAATAAAGAAGTTGTAACACAATGACTCGAATTCTTCGCCATCTTTTTTCTTGGATCGAAAAAATTACTTTTGGGTGTCAAGCTTTTTCCATAATCATAAATACAGTTGCAGAAAACAACAATGGTTTATTGTTAATATTAACACCAATATTAATACTAAAGAAGTAAAGACAAAAAGCGCAAGATTTATTTGATTAAACAAGAAGGTAATAATGACAATGTGTGCATTCCTTTTATGAAATAAACTTCACTTGTTAAGTTAATCTTTAAAATATTAAAGAATTATATTGTAAATATGATACTTGTTCGTTCAACAACGCACTCGCCCATTGGTACCACTATGACGAACACACCTTCTTTTGGTCAACTAGACTCGAGTGCACAGTCAACTATCGACATCCAAAAATGTTGATCTTTTCTAATTATTTATTTTCTTGATTATTATTTATTATTTTTTTTGTATTTCGATGTGCACATTATTTAATTTGCTATTTTACGTCAGTCGACAACCACTTGAGTAATACCCAAAAACTATTTGCTAGTAAATATCCTATTCAGTTTAAATTCATTATTCCAAAATCAATCGACAACCATATTTACGGTCGTTTGAGTTGTTAGAGACATGCCATATATTAGCTGAGATCCATTTTATATAGGCTCCCACCTGAAATTTTTATAATTAATTCAAAAATCATAAAGCACTTGATGTATTAAATAACTACCTCATCAATAACAACGACTAACTTTGCCATTACCACATATTCTTTCTTTCAAGCAGAAACTCCCCTCAAATATTCAATCTCGAAATTTGACCCTGAACTGAAATTCTTGTCCGATGAAGTCATGAAACTCCCCTCTCGTTTAATTCCCAATTTCTATTGAAAATTACCATCAAATACGCAAAGATTCTTAATACGATAAGCATTAAAAAACGATATAAACTTATAAAGTAAGCATATGCTATTCAATGACATGATTACACAAAAACAAAAAAATAAAAATTACTAATACTAATGGCGATAGATTTGGTTAGGACTGGGAAATTTCTATTACTCGAAAAGTTCTTTAAAAGAAAGAGCAACACTATTACTATTACTATAAATTCAATCCAAATGGGGTGCGAAATACTATTATAGAATTCCGGAAATTCTGATAAATTTTTAGAATGTCCGATTATTAACAACTTTAAAGCCTGTTTGCTTGGTACAATAATAACTTGAAATATTTATCTTTTTAATGAAAAAAAAGGAATGATATGCCTTTTGCATAAATGGCAATTGGTAATACATTTTACTTTTAAAGTTAGCCGAGGGAAATTTTCTTTTGATGAATTTTCTTGATTAGAATTTCTTTTATTTCCCATTATTTGTAATCAGTGCGCTAATCAACTTAATTGATTATTCTTTTCTACCTCCCCCCCCCAAAAAAAATCTCTCGAGGTGCTAAAACTGATATTTTTAATGAAAAACCATCCAATCAGCTTTGAGATTCACGGTCACATACAATAGTAATGAGTTTTTTTGGTCCCCCTCTCCCAACATTTTTAAGCCACCTGAATATGACATCATCATTAGATGGAACAGGATAAATTATGCAATCTGTTGTCACCTGTTAAAATTTTTAAAGATCGGAGTTAAAAAAGATACTTTTCAGAATTACCTTAAAGTATTTCGGAAACGGTAAAAATAGTTCAACCAACCACTTTCCCACAATCACGCACGCGTTTGTTTGTGGACAAAAGTTATAAAAAAAATATTTTGCCAAGAAGTTTTTAACTTAATAGTCAACTAATACATAATGGCTTTATCAACTTATTCGTATCCTATAAAAGGAATTTTCTTTTTTATTAGTAATTGGAGTTTAGTTCGAAGAGTCTTACTTGTATTAGTGGTTATATTTTTTGTAGCTTTGGCAATAATAGGATTTTCATTTGGATTCCTTTTAAAAGTTCAAGCCACCGCATTAATAAATGCAAATTGTCCAGCTTGGTTGGCTTGGATAGTTTCCGTCATTTTTTGTCTGATCGAAAGTGCGATATCCACAATCATCATTTACCTGATCATTACACCTATATGGCAAGATGCTTTATTCGATGATGTCTTGAGATTAAAAGGTGTTGGTCATGTGTTGGATAAAGATGGAAAAAAATCAACATCTGACTTATTAGCATGTTGTCGTGGAATTTGTTCAGGACTTGGTCTATTAATATTTCAAATTTATGCATTAGTAATATTTCAGGTATTTATAATCTATTATTATTATTATTATTATTATTATTATTATTGCTTTCTTTAAAAATAAATACATGTAATATTAATAGTATCATGTTATTTTTTTAGGCAATCACACTTTTAATTACATTACCATTACATCTATTGCCATTTGTTGGTACAATATTATACTGTTATATAAATGGTTGGGTGGCATCATGGGGTCATCAACTACATTATCACCTAGAGATTAAAGGATGGGGTGTAAATCAATCTAGAGCATTTGCATGGAAGAATAAAGGAAGTTATATTAGGTTTGGTGCAATGGCTGTAGCACTTGAATTAATACCAATAGCTAATTTTTTATTTTTTTGGACAAACGTTGTTGGTGCTGCTTTATGGACTGCTGATGTAAGTCATGCGTGTCCTATCCTTTGTAAAAAAGTGATTGATTGAACAATAATGATTCATGACAATACTAAATATTATTATTCTTATAGGTTATTATTATTGAAGAGAGAGCGGCAGCATCAGAAGTTAATGATGATTCAAGTAATTTGATTGATGATGATGATAATAATCAATCTTTTTCTTCAACATTGCCATATCAATCTAATATGCAAACGAAAATTAATAAAAAAAAATAAAATAGGAAAAAATTCCATTATTTATTTACATGATGTATTTATTTATTTATTTATTTTATTTATTAATTTACATTCATTCATTTATTCATTACAATAAAACAATATGTAAATAAAGAACACACTCTCCGAGTTAATCATATTTTTTAAGAAATTTTTTATTGTCATTTAAAAAACTATATACTTACATACATACATCAAATCATAAAAATAAAATACGAAAATATATAATAATGATGTGAAAAAAAAAGTAAGAGATAATATTGTTAAAACAAATTTAATAATATTCCGAGAGAAATATATAATAACAAAGAAAATAAATCTAATTAATTAATGCTTCTACCACTCGTTCAACTTTTTTTTTATGTTTTTTCAATAATTCAATCAATCTTTTATCATTATTGTTTCTAAATCCCATTTCTTCAAGACGTTGAAGTTCATCATAAAATAATGCTCTCTCAAGATCCAATCCATCGTCAATAATAGTTTTTGGTGGTGGTGGTGGTGGTGTTGAAATGAATTCCTGTCTTGCTATTGTTGTTGAATTTGAACTAAAACGATCAGGTGATGATCTCTCATTGTCATCAAAACTAACTCTACTATTACGATTAACACGATTACCACGATTACCATTTGAAATTCTTACAGGTTGTTGAAGCCAAGAAACTTCATCATCTTTATTATTTATAGAAAATGGTTTTGTAGGAGCTTCTTTTTGTATAGTTGACGTACTTACAAAGCTATAAGTTTTGCTTTTATTATCTTTTGGACGATAAGACTCTAACCATTCACGACAAACTTCAAAATCAACTGGCTTTCCATTGAGAATTTGATCCATTGTACTATCAGCCTTTGTTTTCAATTCTTCATTAGAACTAATAACATCATTGTATTGTGTTATCAAGGCTTGAAATTGTTTTGCTAACTCCACAACATCTGGTTTTTTTTCTTCTCGTACAATTGTTGGATAGTTGTTATATGATGAAGATGAAGATGATGCAGTTGTTTCAAAACGCCTATTGTTGTCGTTGTTGCTGCTGCTATCATAACCGCCAAATTTGTAGCTATTACTATAAGTTTTATTTTGTCTTTCTTCATCATATTTGTTGCTGCTGCTCTTATCATAATTGCCAAAGTTGTAAATACTGCGGCTTTCTTCACTTTTCTTCACAAAAACTTTTTCATCATCGTCATCGTCATTATTATTAACACTGAGGACCCGTTCGATAATATCTTCTTTTACAAGTTTATCATCATTATCATCATCTTCATCATCTTCTTCATCATCATCATCATCTTCTTCATCATCTTCTTCTTCATCTTCGTCATCTTCATCATCATCATCATCTTCATCTTCATCTTCATCATCATCTTCATCTTCATCTTCTTCGTCGTCATCGTCGTCATCGTCGTCATCATCTTGATCTTGAGTAATATTGTGAGAATCATCGAATGGATTGTCAAAAAGGTTATCGATTAATGCGGTTTCTTTTTTATGTTGTTGAGTTTCTTCTTTTTTACCGTCACCAAAAAGATCTTTGAATAGTCTAATTTCTTTTTCGTGTTGAGATTCTTCTTTTTTATTGTCATCAAAAAGTTCTTTGTTTGGTCTAATTTCTATTTCCCGTCGTTGAATTAGAGATTCTTCTTTTTTACTCTCATCAAAAAGTTCTTTCTTTGGTCTAATTTCTATTTCCCGTCGTTGAATTAGAGATTCTTCTTTTTTATTGTCAACCAAAAGATCTTGGTTTGGTCTAATTTCTATTTCCCGTCGTTGAATTAGAGATTCTTCTTTTTTATTGTCAACCAAAAGATCTTCGTTTGGTCTAATTTCTATTTCCCGTTGTTGAATTAGAGGTTGTTCTTTTTTATCGTCAACCAAAAGATTTTTGTTTAGTCCAATGTCTTTGTTCTGTTGTTGAAGTTGAGATTCTTCTTTTTTATTGTCAAAAAAAACTTTGTTTAACATAATTTCTTTTTGCCGTCGTTGAAATTCAGATTCTTCGCTTTCACACTCAACAAAAAGATCGCTGTTTAGTCTAATGTCTTTTTCCCGTCGTTGAAGCACTTCTTTTTTATTATCAACACAAAAACCTTTGATTATTCCAATTTCTTTGCTCTGTTGTTGAAGTTGAGACTCTTCTTCTTTCTCTTCTTTTGGAGAAATAATCTTTGAAATAATTTGATCAGAAAAAGTTCTGTCCCCTAGATTGTTATTATCACTAGTTGTTGTTGTTGTAGTTGTGGATATTTCTTCTTTGGTATTATCTACAACAATTTCTTTCTCTTTTTCCTTTTTTTCGTTTACATTATTAACATTAACAATAATGTTGCTTTTAGCATTATCATCTTCAAACATCCAATACTCTTCTTCATCACCATCTTCCATAATATATGAAGAAGCGGAGGAAGGAGTAGAGGAAGGAGTAGATGTAGTAGAGGTAGTGGCGTTAATGTTGGTACTAGTATCAATAATCTGAAGAGGCTCGATAGTTTTTTTACTAGGTGTTGTTGGTATTTGTGATGTAGTTGGGGTTTGTGGTGTTGTTGGTGTCTGTGGTGTTGCTGGTGTTTCTGGTGTTTGTGGTGTTGCTGGTGTTTGTAGTGTGATTGGTATCTTGGCTGGTGTTGGCACTTCAACAGTAGTAGTTGTATTAGTAATATTAGTAATAGAAGTGGTAGAAGAGGAGTCTTCTTTTTCAACAAGGTTTAAAGTTAATTTAATCATAGTGCCATTCTTTTTTTGACTGGTAGAAATGAGTTCTTGAATTTCTAAGTCGGTTGATATTGTAATAATATCGAACTCTTCATCTGTATAAGATAATGTAAAGTTGATATCAGGCGCAAAAGAAAACAGTGTACGAATTCTTTCGTCTAAATCAGACCATTTTGGTGCTTCTGGAATTGAGAGTATACGTTTTGTTGAATTGTAAGTTACTTTAATCTGTGGCATTTCATGAATTATTATAAAATATTATTTTGGTTGTTTCTTTCAAGAATTGAGATATTTTTTTTTAATGAAATAATAAATAATAAAAATTATTATTATTTTGTTTGGTGTTTGGGAAAATGAATTCGTCGAAAAAAGGGTTATAATGGTACTTATGATAAAAAGTATCGTGTAACAGATTCTTATTTTCCGCATGATTAATGACGTTACACCAAAAAAACTGATTTGTAAAATTATGTCCTCTAAAAAACTAATTTTTAAAGGTGATAAAGAACGAAAGTAAGGCGATTTCTTGCACGAATCAATTCATTTTAAATCTAATTACATTATATTAATTCATTTTTTTTTTAATTTGAATTATCAGAAAAAAGAAAAAACGCAAAGTTGAAGAAACAAAAAGTGAAGAGGATGTTAATGATGATGGTATATAAACATTTATATATATATTATCTACATGCATGTATAATATCTTACAATCTAAATTTTTTTTGTGTGTGTGTATCATCACCAGGTTGGGTTCTCGCGGAATCAAAAGAGGATCTTATGGGACCGTTATTTTTTATATTCAATAGCGAACCATTATCATGCTTACATTGTTTTGAAAATGATCATTCGATCGGTGTAAAAGCTATACCACCCAAAAATAACAATCTAGCAAATTGTGAACCCGAAGAAGTTAATGCGGTATTTGTTGGTGCCAGTATTGTGGGCTCGTCATCAGATCATCGAATAACCTTAAAAACATACGATGGAAAATATTTAGCAAGTGATAAGTTTGGTGTTATAACGGCTGATAGAGAAGCAATTGGTCCACAAGAAGAATGGATCCCAATCATTAGAGATGATGGAATTGCGTTGCAAAGTTATTATGATAAATTTTTAAGCGTTGATGAGATTGCTGCTGACGAAGAAGGTGGTGGAGGCGGTGGTAATAGTAGCGGCAGTGGTAGGTATAAATTAAGAGCCGATGTGGAAACTATTGGATTTTGTGAAACTTGGAAGGTAAAGTGTCAGGCTAGATTACGGAAAAAACAGAAAATTACTCAAAAAGAAACTAAATCAATAAGCGAATTTGAGGTTGATCAAATGTAAGTAGTAATAACTAATTATCCATGTATTTAGATATTATTATTTGATTAATTAAACATATTCTAATTTTAAAATCATATGTTATATATTCAGTAAAAAATATCAAGCATGGGGTGGTGGTAAAGTAAATAAAACTCATGAAGATGTTACAGAATTGAAGAAAGCTAAAAAAGAAGGGAAATTTGCAGAAGCGTAAGTAACATTACAAGAATTTAATACGTACATGTATATTTATTTTATTACCTCTAAACTAAAAATAATAAATTTTTTTGTAGATTGCTTGATCGTCGTGCAAAGGTCAAAGCTGATAGATATTGTAAATAATAGATAGAAGATACTGAGGGAAAAAAAATATACTTTACAGTACATAATAAATAAATAAACAATAATAATTTAGAACATTCGGATTAATATTATTCATCTATAAATAATTATAAAATAAAATTTATTTAATTGTTTTTTTTTCAGAATATATATATGTGTGTGTGTGTGTATATTATACAGTCTCATTAAAATTTTATATATTATTAATATTAAAAATATGTACAGAAAAATAATAATAATCTAATTATTATAGATATCTTCTAAAAATATCAGTAGCGTGCTTGCCTTTTAGAACTAAAATTATCAAGACGTTCTTTAGCTCTTGAATAATTTGAATAAGCGTTAAGATGTTCCGTATTTCTCATTTTTGCAAGAACATCTTTATCATTTGATAATGATTGAATTTCAAGAAATGTGTCATCTATAAATGTGTCACACGGTTTTAATAATTCACTATTGTTAATATTGTTTATTTGTTTTATATAACCATCATCATTAATATCATCACTACTAGTAGTTTCTTCACCTAAAGTTGTTATTTTCTCAAGAAGTTCTTGAATTGTTAAACTTTCCCCATCTTTAACCTCAGCATCATATGAGATAGTTTTACACTTCATTTCAACCTCTTTACGTAATACATGATCAATATCAACTCCTGAAAAAAATGCAACAGACTAAAAAAAAAAAATAATTAATATATTTATAATGATAATAACAAACAATAGCAAATAAAATGAACTTTGATAAAAAAAATTTTGATAACTTACCGATGGTAAATCCATAATTCCCAACATATAACTAAACATTGATCGAGTCCATAGATTACTAATTTGTAATGCTAATGCTGCACGATAACTATCTTTCTCTTCTACAAGGAATCTTATTTCATCATGAACCGATATCATAAATCGTGCGTTAATCTTATATTTTGTTATTAAATACTCCATAGATACTAAAAGTAAATGAAGATAGTCAACCCCTGAAGATTGTACGACCCAGTTTATTCTTGATGTCATATATCCTTTTTTAACCACTTTCATATTCAACGCTTCAGTAATACCACATTTTAAAACTGGAGTTCGAGGCGATTCGCTTATCGCTATGTTTTCTAAACTATTGAACATATAACTTTCACTTCCACCATACCAAAAATAATCATAATTTAAAAATCTCCTCTTTAGTTCTTTATAATCTTTTGAATAGAATCTTTTGCCTTTTGTGTGCTCATATAACTCTGTTGCACGCTCTGTTGCTTCTTCTTCAATAATATCCTCATTAAATTGTCTTAACAATTGTGACGCGAATTTTAATCCTGCTCCATATATTCGTCCATAATTAAATACTTTTGCATCTGATCTTGAAATTTTTAAAATTTGGGCTGTTCTTGAATGCATGTCGGTGCCTTCAGCTTTAGTACCTTGAAGTGTCATCCATCCCATAGCTGTTGAACCATGAAACCCAAACTGGGAATCTCCGATTAGACTTGATATCCACAATTCTTCTGAATCCACATCAGCACCAACTATTTTATAGCCTTCTGGAGCCTGTATTAATGCTTTAAGTTCAGACCCTATTCTATTTTCCTTCACATTACTGGCTGTCATCCATGTTTTTTCCACCGCGCGTCGAGTAACTGTTCCCATTGCAACAGTCTGCGGTAAAATCATACCAATGATTTTTTTTTTATCAGCATTAGCATTAGCATCAACATTAGCGTCAACATCGGCATTAGCATCTGCATTAACATTATCAGCATTAGCATCAGCATTAGAATTAGAATCAGAATTAGCATTATAATCAGCATTAGCATTAGAATCAGAATTAGCATTAGAATCAGCATTAGCATTAACACACTTTTTAAATCCCATATCCTTAATTTCTGGATGATCTTCGTATACCACCATCTGACTTATTATACGTTCTCTACAACTTATCCAGTATGAACAATTAACACTCATTTGAATTGCATTTTTTCCCATACTATATTCTGAACTTAACACTTCTTTTTCAAAATCATTTATATAATGTTTTGCAAATGGAGTTTCACAGCGATGTTCATCCCCATCTTTGTGTGGAATACGATAATAAACCCCATCTTTATCATCCGCAAGCTTTTCATCTTCTTCTACAACTTTTTTTGTTTTATTATTTTCGGTCTTATTAGATTTTTCGGCTTCATTATGTTCTTCTGTAAGATGTTCCATATTACGAAGATCTATTTGATTTTCTTGTTGAACAACTGACGATGATTCTTTTTTTTCTTCACGAAAGACACATGGTTTTGCCTTTGTTACATAAGTAGTATTTTCTATGGGTACTCTATATGTCCAACCATACTTTTTGGAATAATATAATGGAAAGTCATTCCATTTTAACTTTAATAAAAGAGGCGCAATTCTCATTCTAGATGTAATTTTTAACTCATTGGTTTTAGTATTATAAATATCTCTATACCAGTTTGGATGTGTTGGAAGTTTTCTAACCTTATTGGATGTGGGACATGCCCAATCCAATTGTTTTAAAAAAAAATCATCTTTTATCTTTTCAGGATTGCTCGTACCCTCTTTTAAAGTATCCTCTGCCAAGCTTGTTAAACTATCATGAAGATCTTTACACTTCTTTTGAAACATGGTTTCTGCTTTATTAATGTAATCATTCCAATCATTTGAGGTGGTTAAGAACATATTGCCCATTTGTAGCATTCCAGCAAATGATACTGGATGAGGACAAACATCCAGAAACTGTGGAAGGACTTTACAATAAATTTTATGGGTAGCTATTACATCATTAGCACAATATGTTATTATCTTTTGAAAATTTTCTGGATCAATTATATCATCAAGAGTTCCTTTAATAAAAAAGTCTTTTGATGATTTATCAAGTCCTTCCCCATAATGCAATCTATAAACATCTTGAAGACTGTTTATTGAGCTTACATCATATATAGGTTTGAATTCCCTCGCTGAATCCAAATAATCATTGTCATCCTCTATTATGGCCTTCTTATATTTAATCCAAGTTGAACGTTGATTTGAAGACAGACCATTTACAGCTATATGTAAAGACATAGTGTCTATAAATTTAATACCAGAATGCTTATATGAATACTCTTCTAAGATACGTGCACGATCATATCCAACGTTATGTCCAATTATTATTCTACGGGTATCTGGCATATTACCCATGGGAATCAAACTTCCAACCTTATTAGAACTTCGAAAAATATCTTCAATTTTCTTCTTTTTATTATTATTTTTGTTATTAGTTGTTAAATTTTCATTGTCCTTTGAATCAGCAGCATTATTATTTTTTGATTTTTCAACTTCCTGTTTGTGTTCAATTAGCTTTGGTGAAACCCACGCATACCAGGCCTCAGGTGAAACAGCGCAGGCAATCAAAGAATAATTACTATCATTATGCATTGTTTCAACATCAAAACATAAGATTTTTTCTTTAGGAAATTCTACTTTTTCAGGTTTTATATCTTTTTTATAGCGTGTCCAACCCTCTTGTAGTATCCAGTTAGACGGAGTCTCAGGAAGATCATCAACTACAAAACCTTTAGCTAATTCAATATAAGGGTTTGCTTGACTACTCCCTATTTTCCAAAAATGTTCAGCTATTGAGCTTCCATCTATTAATAATGAGTCAAATTCCTTTATCAGAGGAAATGCATCAGATATTCTCCCTGCTAACTTCTGTTCTTCTAAATGTTTTGATGAAACCAACTCACGATTTTTATGAGGCTCTGGTCGAGTAGTAAGCCTAAAAATTTTGGAGTAAAGCCAACTTGGTAACATTTCTATACCAGATGAATTGATATATGGTTTTTCTTGGAAAGATAAAACAAATGGAAAAATTAATAATAATACATCAATATTTGCAATATATTTGTCGTTATCATCTTTTTTCGTAAATATAAATACATTTATAAATAAATATATATTAATTTACCTGTAGAAGTACGACTTTCATTTGGTTTTATTTCACTGTGAGAATTTATAAGTCTTTTTTGATGAGAGATGTTTAAACCTAAGATAATAGTATAAAGCATGTCATTCTATTATTCCATCCTGTATACTTTGGATATTCTTGCAAATTAATAAATAATAAATACAAGATTTTAGGATAAATAAACAATTATTAAAAATTACTTTTTTTCGTCATTTCTTCGCGTCTTATTGTATTTTTTATTATTGCAGACTTGAATAAATTTTTAACTTTATGTCCCATCGCGTAATTAAAATTTTTGAAATTATTTACTATTACTATTACTATATTTATTTTAACGCTAATTCGTTTTTGATGTAAAATTTTCGTGATGATCTTCACAATTAATTGCCCAATCAATTTTTACCACATTTTATATATATATATAATAACAATAATAATATTTTTTCCATTACCTTTTCTTCTCCAGCATTTTCAACGGTTTTTTAATCTTTAATTAACAATAAATAAACTGTTTATATTATTTATATAATATAATATAATAATTTTTTACAAATAATTATTATTTCATATCATATATTTTCTCGTTTTTCAAAAATCTCAACATATTCTGATAAACAAATAATTATATATATACACACTATGAAAATACGTTGTTATATTCTTACACTTGCATCATTTCTCTTTTCGACAACAAATTATGTATTTTGTGATAAAAGTGCACAACAGTATCTTGAGGAAGGCTCTGAACTGTTTAAAAGAAGTCTGTATGAAGAAGCCTTAAAAAATTACGATGCTGCTATTGGTAAGTATTTATTATAATAATGATTCCCTTTTTTGTTATTATCATTTAATTCTTTTTTTTTAAAAAAAACAACAATGAAAATTTACAATTTTTTTACATTAATAGGACAAGAACCCGATAATTACCTCTCATATTTCAAACGTGCTACAACACATTTAGCATTAAAAAGTAATAGTTTTGCATTACAAGACTTTTCTAAAGTATTAGAACTAAGGCCAGATTTTGATCAGGTTAATATAAAAGAAAGTTAAATAAACTTTTAAATTTTGATATATATATCATTCTTACTCAATAATTATTTTAATTTGTTGAAATTAGGCTTTAATTCAAAGAGCAAAATTATTTATCACAGAAGGTTCACTAGCAGAAGCTAAGCGCGACCTTACAAAATATTTTAAAAAAGCTCCAAAAGATGATGCAGTTAAAAAATTGGTAATAATATAATTTTCTAGCTTTTAATATAATTATTATCTTATACAACCATAAAATATACTAATTAATGTTTTTCATGTTTAGTTGGAATCGATCACTAAAGCAGAAGAATCTATATTAAAGGCTGAAAAATTGTTTAAAGAAAAAAATTATGAAGGTTGCATTAATGAGTTGAGTCTTGCTTTGGATATTTCACCAAAATCTTATAAATCAAGGCTTTTGAGATCAGAATGTTACCTGGCCAATGGAGAAGTTGAACAAGGTGTACGTGATTTAACGTATGTATCTTTAAAAAAAAAAAGGCTTTATTTTAAAATAATTATTTAAGATAAAATTTATTTATTATTGTTGCGTTATTTTTTTTTAATAGATATGTATCAAAAATCAAATCTCTAGACTTGAACCATTTTGTAAAATTGGCCAAATTATATTTCTTTTCATTGTATAATCCAGAGCAAGCAGATAAGGCAATCAAGGATTGTCTTAGATCCGATCCAGAAAATGCAACATGTAAGTCACTACGAAAAAAAACTAGAAATTTGAAAAAAGAGATTGATAGAGTTGCTGGTGATATTGATGGAAAGAGATTTACACTAGCAATTAAAAAATTATTTGGTTCATATGTTGAATCAAATAAAAATAAAAACGATCAAAATAAACAAAATCGTCGCCAGGCAACGAACGATAATAAATCTACTGGTTTGATAAAAGAAATTAAAGATGAAATACAAAATGCTAAAGAAATTTTAGTAAAAAACGAATTATTAAAACAATTATATGAATGGACTTGTATTTCATACTCTGAGGTAAGATTAAAAAAAAATTCTTTTAGCGTGTGTGTAAATAAATATAATATTGTAATAGAACATATATTTAGCTTTTTTTTTTTTTGATAATGTTTTCTTTTAAAAGCTAAAAGATACAAAAAATACACTTGAATGGTGTAGTGAAACATTGAAATTTGACGAAAATAATACAGAAGCATTGATTAATCGTGGAGAGGCATATATAAAAGAGGAGGAGTATGATGCAGCAATGGAAGATTTTAAAAAAGCACATGATATTAAACCAGACAACAGAGCAACTCAAGGATTTCAGAAAGCAAACAAATTAAAGAAAATGGCAAAGAAAAAAGATTATTACAAGATACTTGGTGTACCACGCTCAGCATCTACAAGGGATATCAAAAAAGCATATAGAAAATTAGCACAACAATGGCATCCTGATAAATATAAAGGTGATTTAACTCTTCAACAAGTTGAAGCAAAAATGAGTTCAATTAATGAAGCATATGAAGTTTTAAGCAATGATCGTAAGTTGAAATAAAATATTTATTATTTACAAAGTGAATGCTAAATTTTATTTGTATAATTAAAAAAAAATTTTTTTTTTGATGATAGAATTAAGAGAAAGATATGATAATGGGGAAGATCCAAATGATCCTGATAGACAGAATTCAAACTTCTTTTATTCTGACGGTAATCCTTTTACGGAGTTTTCCAGACATGGATTTCAATTTGGTGGATTTCCATTTGGAGGGTCTGGTGAAGGAGATGGTCATTATTCTTTTCAATTCAATTTTCCTTAAAAGAGGATTTTTGTCACCACATAAATCTTTTCAAAATATTATCACTTGGAAATAATTTCATGAACAATTTTTTTTTAGCGACAGCAACAATAAATAATAATGTATATTATACATATATATATAATATCATCATTTTTTTACAAAAAAATTTAATATTATAATTATTTTAAATTATCGAACATAGAATTACTTTTTGGATAAATTATCATTTATGATTTCATCTGCATTAATAATATATAATTTGCTTGGTTTTTTTTACAAGGTCATCATAAAATAAAAAATTAATTTATATTTTAATTTTTAATTTTTAATTGAATTTAATAAATAATACTCACTCGAAAAACAAAATTTTTTGAATGAAATAAATAAATAAATAAATAAATAAATTGATAATAAATAATATATATATGCATGAATTTTTTGATGAAAATAATTTACATATTAATATTGAATGCGGTAAAAATATTAAACAAAAAAAAAATAATGAATTGTCCAAGTTTTTTGATAAATAAAAATAATTTGTAAATTGATTTAATTTTAGAAACACATAAATTTATTCTTTTTTGCCATGAGTTGTTCCATTTGACTCTCTAAATTTAATCTTGCCCTTTCTGCTTTTTCTTTGGCTTTTCGTTCCTCCTCTAATACCGATTCCATAACCTTCTTTTCCTCTTCCACTGTGGCTTTTGTCACTTCTACTTGGACTTGTGCTTCATCTAACTCTGCTCTCAATGACTTGATTTCATTCACATGATTATTTCTTTCACGTTGTAATATTAATAGTTGTTGTTTAGCAACACGGATTTCTGTTTCTTCTTCTTTGAGTGCAGATTCCAAAGATTCAACAAGTTGTTTGTTTTCTGAGCTTTCGCCCTCCAGTTTTGCAATCTTTTTGTTTAATTTTTGAATTTCTGATACAAGCTCGGCTGCAGTTGTCATTGCACTTACATCTGATCCTCTTCTTGAGCGTGATTGTCCAAGGTCAGGTTTTAGTGAAAGTGATACTCTTGGTGGAGGATTAACTGGGAAACTGGGTGTAGAAGGAGGAGAATTAAGATTTGATGATGGTGGTGGCGGTGGTGGATGATTTGGTGGCGGCGCTGGTGGTGGGGGTATAGTATTATTACCAGAAACTGAGCGAGTGTTCCTTTTGAACTCTGACGAATTAGAACTAATGGATACTATTGACATACGACCATGCAAATTATCATTTGATTCTAATTCGGCGATTTTCTCTTTCAACGTTTTGATTGTATTGTTTTGATGTGCAATTGTAACGTCTTGTTTAATGAGTTTGTTTTTGGTTTCATTTGAATGTGAAGTTATACTGTTGACACTGTTGCGTGAATTTGACAAGTCTATACCCAAATCTTTAATCTTTTGTTCAAGTTGTTCATTTAATTCCAATAAATGAGTAATTTCCTTTAACATTTCTTTAGATTCATCAGATGAATTTCGTTTTAGGGTGGAGAGCTTATTTTCAAGATTTATTAATTCTTCATTTAATTGTGCTATTTGAACAGCAGCTTTATTTCCACCGAGTCCAATCGAATGGAGTTGTTCAAGCAATGATTTAACTTTAAGATCAAGCTTACTGCGCTCTTCAGAATGACTTTCATTGGCTTCTTCCAATGCTTCTTTTTCTGATTGTAGTTCAATTATTTGTTCCCTTAATTCAATTACGGATACATTGCTCTCGCTATTAATCATAACTTCGTTTTCAAATAATTTTATCTTTTCGTTTAATATTTGGATTTGTTCTTCAGCTTCAATTATTTTCAAACTAAGGTTTTCATTTGTTTGACTTAAAAGTTCATTGGCTGATTCCATTTTAGCCAATGTAGGGTTTGACAATGCTAAATTGTGATCACTCGTTGACATAGTAGATAATTTACTGTTGGCTTCTTCGAGTGCCATTACTAATTCAAAAATACGATTTTTTTGTTGTTTTGATAATTCATCAGCATCATTAAACTTGCTAGTAGCTTCAGCAAATTCTTCGGCCAAAATTTCAAGATCTTTTTGAAGCTGTTCTGAATGTTGTTCAAGATTTATATTTCTTTCAGTTTGCTCAGATTTTTCTAATTCAAGTTGTCTTGTTGATTTTTCTAATCTTGCTACATGATCTCTATTTTCCGCAATTCGGTTGTGTGCTTTTTTAAGTTGGCTTGTAAGATCTTCAATCATAGAATCATCAATATTTTCATAGCTTTTAATTAAAGAACCATGAAGAGCATCTTCAAGTTTATTTTGTAATCCAGTACACTTTTCTTGAAGTTCATTAATTTCATTGTTTGCATCTTTAAGTTTAGAGATTTCTTCTGTACAAAGATTTTGAGTCTTCTTTAAACTAACTTCCAACTCTTTGATCTTTTGATTTTGTTTAGCCTCATTTGTCTTTGATTTTTCAAGTTCAGATTTTATCGATTCAATCTCGACTGATGAAGAATAATTTGTTAATTTGAAAGTGAGTTCGTTTATTTTTGTTTCAAGTTGTTTGACTCTTTGGGATTCTTCAATTTCAGATGATCTGGTAGAAGATAATTCTATTTGGGCTGCATGTATTATTTTTTCCAATTCAGAAATCACGTCATTCTGGTCAAAAATGTCACTTTCTTTTTCTGTTAGAGTACCGACCACTACCGCTAACTTGTTCTTCAAATCATTAATCATTTTGTAACGTTTTTCATCCAAATCTTTTGCATATTGAAGCTGTTCCTTCACAACTGAAAGATTTCCTTCAATATTAACAACAATATCTTTATTTACATTTGATGAATCTTTAAATTTATCAAGATCCGACTCCAAATTTACCAAAATATTCTCTAACGACTCTATTGCATCTTTTTGATTAGCTTCCTTCTCTTCGAGAGTCTTCTTTAATTTTTCAACCTGCTTGGCATTCTGATCATGTTCCTTTTCAATTTCTGTTAATTGTGAATCAAGTTCAACAAGTATTTCATTTTGTGAAATCATTTCAACTTTTGTATTAGACAATTCTTCGCGTAAAGCATTAACATTATCATCACTACCGGAGCCTGCAATTTTATACGTCTCAATTTCAATTTCTAAAGTTTTTGCTCGTTTTTGTGATTCATCACATCGTTTTTCAGCTTCACTCAACAACCTTGAAAGATTTTCAAATTCTTCTAAAGAAGTTTTACTTTTTTCTTTTGTTGTTACTAATTCTTTTCTCAAAACTTTTAGTTCTTCCTCTTGAGAAATCACAAGTTCTTTTTGAAGACTGAAGCCTCCTTTCATAGTTTGCAATTCTTTTACCGCTTCTTCTTTGGAATTTCTAACTTTACGAAGTTGTGTTTGTAGCTGTTCAATTGTAGATTTTTGTCCAGTTTCAATTTCTTTCAAAAGTTTGACTTCCTCTTTGACAGTTTCAAAAATATTGGATTCTTTTTGCAATGAAAGTAATTTGGATTCAAGTTCTTGAATATTTCTCTTTAGATCGGCTTCAGAAGCCCTTAATGATGAAATTTGATCACGCAATGAAGCAATGTCAGGATCTTCATCTTGAACCAATGCCAATCGGGTTTCAAGAGTTTCGATTTGTTTACGTTGTTCTCTTTCATTAGCATGCAAATTTTCAATTTCTTCAGTTAATGTTTTAACTTGTTGGCCGTCTTTGGTGATTTGTTGACTTAATTTAAGTTCAAGTTCTTGGATTTTTGATAATTGTTCGATTTCTCTATCTTTTGTTGTAGTAGTCTCGCGTTTCAAAAGTGCAACTTGAGATCTATCCTCGGCTTTCTTTAATTTAACTTCAAGGCTTTCAATTGTTTTCCTGTATGTAGATTCAGATTCTTTTGCTAAAGCTAATTCAGTTCTTAATTTGACAAGATCTTCATCAACCTTATCACCTTGTTCTGTAAGTCTCCCCTCCAACACCAAAATCCGTTCGCGTTGTGCTATTTCAACATATCGCAAATGTTCCAATTGTTCTTGTAAATGAAGTTCTTCACTATCTGTTCCCATTCTCGTTTTCAAAACACGAAGTCTCTCCAAAGCAATAACTTCGCGATCACGTACTTCTTTGAGTTCCTTTCTTAAAGTTTCTAATTCAGCATAAAGGACTTTATTAACATCTTCGCCATTTTCCAATTGATGTAATCTTGTTTTGAGTTCTCTTATTTCAATTTTCTGTGCTTCTTCGTGTTTATGAATTTCCATCAATTTGGTTCTGAATGATAATGCATCGGCTTCCTTTTCTCTTAACCGCTGTTGTAGTGCTGGTTTATCAGCGAGATCTCTTTTCAACATTTCAATTAATCCATATTTTTGATTAACTTCTGATTTGATTGCCTGGATTTGATTATGAAGGTTAGCAAAAATTTCAGTTTCCTTATCCGAATGATCAGCCGAGGTAGATTTTTTGCTTGCTAATTCATGTTGTAATTCATTCAGTTTTTTTACAAGAACTTCAATCGTAATGTATGTTTGATTCATGTCATCTGCTATCGAACCTCTTCTAGTAGGAACATGTTGTGCTTCTTTGGCTTTATTCAATTGGATTTCAAGATCTTTCACATTGTCTTCTAGCTCTTTAATATGTTTATCACCAATTTCAAAATCATTGTTAATATTATCTTCTTCAAGTCTATCAACTTTCTCTTGAATGGCAAGACGAAGGACCTCTCTAGACTCTTGGAGTTCATCCTCTAATCTCCTAATTGTATCCTGGTTTTCAATTGAAGGAAACAATAATGCAGCTATGGTGTGACTTTTAGCCTCAATTTCGGTTTGAATTTTTTTAACTTGTTGATGCAGCTCAATATCTTTAGATGTTTGTTCAGATTCTGGAGTAATAACACCAATCTCCTCGAGATTAGAAATGACTTCATTTACTTGAATTTGTCGTTGAAATTCTTGAGCTTGTAGTAGTTGCTCCTCATACTCTCTTATTTTTGACTGTAATTTATTGATGGTTTCATCGTTAGTTTTATCCAAAGGAGTTGTGGATTTCTGATCATTCTCTTCGATAAATTGATTCATTTCCGATTTAAGTTGAAGAATAGACGATTCGATTTTGAAAATTTGATCATTTTTGGTTACTTTAATATCACTCACGGAAAGCAAATCAAGTGATTTCTTTTGTTCTTCTTTAAGTTGTTCAACTTCATCTCTAAGACGATGCACTATATCATTTTGATCTATTTCACTTACAGCAGCAGAAAAACCACCATCAGTATAAGCATCGGGAGACATAACTGACATAACTTCCAATTGTGCTAAAGCATCACGTCTTTTGATTTCTTCGCGAAGCTCTTCTACAATTTCAATAGTGGTCAAATGATTGGTTTCAAGACGAGCAAATTCTTGTCTAACAGCTTCTAAACCTTTAGCCTTATCGTCATGAAGCAATTCCAATTGTTTAAATTCAATTTGAAGTTTTTGGATCACAGCCATGCTAGCAAGTTCTTTTTTCTCGGCGCCTTTAACTTCAGCAGACAATGATCTTGCCTTTCTACGTGTACCATGTAAATAAGGTGACAAAGAATCTGGATCATTTTGGCTATCAGAAGAAGAATCAGTCAATGGAGTTGAAGGAGTAACCTCAACTGTATTAAATTGTGGTGTCTTTGCTTCAGCCAATTGAGCGTGAAGTTCATTGATTTCATCAAGACAACTCTGATGTTTATCCTTTATTTCTTCAAATTCCAAAACAGTATTTACATGAATTTTTTGAAGTTCGCATAATTTAGATTCAAGTTCTGAGACACTTGAGTAATCATTTGTTGATATTGAAGTGTTTAAACTGGATGATCTAGATAATGATGTCCCAATGTAGGAGGATGGGTATGATGATAAAGAAGAGGATGAGGAAGAAGGAGAAAGAGTGGATGAGGAGGGGGAGGAGGATAAATCATGTTTGTTGGGTTTTGATTTCAAAAATTTTAATTGACCGATTTCATTTACAAGTTCATCAACTTTTTTTTCTAGCTGAGCAATTCTCTTATCACGATCATCAATCTCGGCCGCTAATAAGATAGCATCCTCTTCACTATAAGCTTTTTCTTTGTTGAATTGTTCTTCTAAATTTTCATAGGCTTTTTCTCTCTCTTGTAAATGTTTTCCAAGTTGTGAAGCATCCTTATTTGCTTTAGCATAGTTTTGTTCAGCTTTAGCTAATTTAGCTTCTAATTTCTGGATGATGCTTTCACTATTTTCAGCAGTTGAACTAAGTTGAGAAACTCTATTTTTCAATTCATTGATCGTTTCTTGATCTTTTTCTTGTTCAGAATCATGAGAATTAATTTTAGCTTCTAAATCTTTAATATAGGTTTCATTAGTTTCTTCACGTTCATGATGTTGAAGGATTTGATTTTTTAAATCCATTATCACGTTTTTATCTTTATAACTTAAATCTTCAACTTCAATAAGTTTCATTTCATATTCTCGAATTTGTTTTTCAATGGAAGCTAAAGCGGCACGAGCCAAAAAAAGGTCACTTTCAAGATCAGCAATTGATTTTTCATATTCTTCGATAACTGGGCGTATAGTTTCCTGAAAGCTGGAAGGAACTGAATTAAACAAATCACTTTTATTATCATCACTATCATTGTTATTATGGTTGATGTTTTCCTCTTCTTTTATAGAAGCTAGTCCATTTGCCTGATTTTCAAAATTATCTTGATAAATAGATAGTTCAGCAGTAGTTTTTGCATGGTTTTTAGAAAGCTCAACATAAGAACGTTGCAATTCTGATAGTTGTTCCTCAAGGGATTCAACATCTTTCTGGAAGCCATTATTTGCGGTTGATGGAGTAGATGGACGACGGCCACCGGTATTACCAGTACCAATACCACTACCACGATCCAATGGAGTATCTCTGCCATCAGGTTGTAGAATAGGAGTATTTCTACCAGAGCCAGGATTATTTGATGAAAAAGTACCAACAGATTGCTTCAAAGCTTTTATTTCATTTCTAAGTTTTAAAACTAAATTTTGCAAATGTTCTAAATCATGCCAACCAGTTTCTTCTTGATTAACTGTGGCAATATTTTTAATATTTCTTGCACGATTAGCATATTTAAGGGTGTTGATTGTCTCGCTGACATTATACTCAGCAGGAGAAACACAAGCAATCATTAAGGTTTGAGCATTGCCACCTAATGAATCTTGTAGTAGACGAGTAAGTTTTGAATCACGATATGGAATGTGGGTTATATTTTTTGCTCTTGATGGATCACCTAAAGCAGAAATTACATTTCCTAATGCTAATAAACCAGAATTAATTGATATTCCTTCTTTAGCTCTATCGCCTATTGAAGAAGTTCTTTTAAGCTAATATTGATATGGAAAATTATGGTTGATTAATAAAACAAATTTATATAATAATGATTTTGAAAAAAATTCTTTAATAATTTTATATGTATATACCCTTTCACTGCCAGCTAAATCTACAAAATGAAATTTACTTGTAATTGATACCCATTCACCCTTATCATTATCTTTTACGAACCCTGTTCTTGATGAATTACTAGTAGGAGATGTCGGTAATGGACTATCGCGAGCATCAGGAGATGATGAAGAAACCAATTTTTGTTGTGAAAGAGTAACGGAAAAGATGGCATGTGATCGAGATGATTGTGAATTCATATCAGTGACACTGACTTGACGATTTAATGATCCACGATTCAAATGACCCGTTATTTCATCAACACTAGTAACTTTAATTTCTTGTAAACCACTCCATATAATATTGCCTTTTGAATCTTCTCTGATCATTAATTGTGGTTTATTTTCCCCGTCGTTTTCTTCAGAAAGAAGATCAATAAGATCTTCATTGTATAATTCAACAAAGGACACTTTCATTGTACATTTACGATTCTTATACTGAGAAGAATTTATATAAGAAAAAAGTGTACTTATAGCACGCGGAATTATACCCTTTGACTCGGGAGATTTAGTGGAATTATCAGCAGTACCCATTGTATGAGTTTTACCTGATGATGTTTGACCATAAGCCAAAATTGTTACATTAAAACCTATAAAAAATTGAAAAATTGAAAAATTAATAAAAATATATTTTAATTCCAAATAAAAAATAATAATAATAAAAAACAATTTACCTTCCAAAAATTTATCTACCATTTTTTTTACAGCAACATCATATATATCTTTTTGAGATGTATCAGGACCAAAAATTTGATCAAATGTGAATGTTTGTTTCTTTTCACCTAAAACCGTTACTTGATTTGGGGCAAATTGTGAAGTGGATAAAACATTCTTTTGAAATCGTGAAGGCAAATTTATCATATCCTCGGCAGTTAAAGGCCTTATACGAAGAGCTACTTGTACTGATGTATTTTCAGGAGTTGCACTGGACATTTTTTTCAACTTTTATTTTGATATTTTCTTTTTTGTTTTTGACGTGTGGTGATGGTAATGATGAAAAATAAAATAAATAAATAAATAAATTACAAATTATTATTAAATACAAAATCTTTTTTTTTAAAAAAAAGAATAATTGATTATAATTGATTAGTTTAATTTTGTTGTTATAAATTTTAAAGGGTTCCTGCCCAGGAGCATTTATACTGTGTGTAGTAAAACGATTTATTTAAACCGCTGAACCGTAATAAATATACGTGTAAATATGTATATGTAAATTTTTTATTTTTTTTTTTTGAAAATTCAAAATTTAAAAGTATTCATTAAAAAAAAATGATTTTTATCTTTTGTAAAATGTAGTCGAGAAGAATGATTGATTATTAGAAGTGGATGTAATTATTGGTAACACGATGAAAGGTTTGAACGAATGAATTTTTTAATTGCGAGAAATAAATAATTGTTGTGATTATTTATGTGGAAAGGAATGTAATGTAAGATAAAAAAAGAAATGAGAGAAAAATGTTGGGAAAAAATTTTAAAATTAAAAATCCGTTTTTTTTATCAGTGTTACCCAAATTTAAAGGTAACATTAAAATCATGCAAATGTATTTGTTTGTTTCATTCTCTATTTGGTAAAATGTTTTATTAAGTTGTAATCTTTATAACCAATCAATTCAAACTTCTACCATATCTAATAAAAAAAAAAAAATAGACTACTTGATCTATGGGCCCGAAGAGCTGGCGAAACCAATTTGGATTTCACAACAATGTAAGCCAGGTCTACCTTGGGGACATTTATAATTTACTTCGGTTATAAAACACTATTCAACATAATAACCGTGATAATCATTGATTTAAAAAATATATTTTTATAATTTATTCAAATATATAATATATATATATATATTACATAATAATTAATTATATAATGTTTTTTTAAATTTAGAAATTTTTAATTAATTATTAAATATTCATATTTTTCTCCCGTGGTAATTATTGTTTCTGCGATGATGATAACGAAAATGTTGTTGCTGCTGATGCTGCTAATCTATTAATTCTTTATCTTTTGGATGCAGCTTGCTTCTATTTGAACTTTTCGTTCATCCTTTACACTTTGAAATTCGAGCTTTTTTTTGTTTTATTAACTTCATTATGCATACATTAATATGGATGTTAGCCAAAATTGTTCCTCTTGATATTAAATTAATTTTTGATCAAACTCTTTAATCTAAGATAACTCAAATAGTATATTTATTTTATGTTTATCGTATGAAGAATATTGAAAGCTGAAATGATTGCTATAATTACATTACTTTTTTCCAAAAACAATTTCGGCAAATAACTGATTAATGAAAAGATTCTATATTAATATTAATATATTATTAATATTGTCACCAAACGACGGAAATTATAATTAATATTTATTTTATTTGTTTATATTGATTTATTTATTTATTATTTAATATTGTCTTCACCAAATACAGTTAATTCGTGGTAATAACGTGCAAAATATTAATGTATATCAAGTTTGACTTTAAATAAAAACAGTGCATTTTACAAATATTTACTGCATGTTTAATGCTGTTAACATTCTTGTACGATAATAATAACATTCTCATCTAAAAGTTATTTGACAAGGTTCATTTTTAACATTCTTGTAATTATTTTTTATATATGGGGACTCGATTCGTGTAACGTGACTACTGAAAATTTTTGCCGATCACAATTCATAATAGTAATAGATACAAACATGTTAAAATCGAAAGTCCACTATGCTGCCCCATATTAATATAGATATGGGGCATACCAGACAAAGTGAACATTTGTGTCACCAAGAATTTCAGGGTTACTCACACATTAAAATAATTCAGTAATAACAATTATAAAAAAAAATAATAAAATGATAGTAATAAAATATAAAAATTTAGATTTTTTGTTATAAGAGATTTATTTAAGAAAAAGATTTGATACCAATAATAATTAATTAAAATAATTTTTCTTGACAAGAAAGAAGAAGCAGAAAAATACCAAATTAACCACTTAATAAAACCAACAGCCTAGAAAAAGATGGCTGAATGAAAAAAAGAAAAAGTAAATAGTAATGAATATTGGTCATTATTAATTGTGAAGCACAAAAAATACTTGATTGATAAAAAAAAAAAAAGCAAGAACTAGCCAAAAGAAAAATATTGGATTTCATAACTACAAAATGAAACTGTTATTCTAAAATTGAAAACATTCATCACCTGTCCCAAAAAAATTGACTTAGAGATTGAGAGTTAGTAAAAGAGAGAGTAATAATTAAAATCAATTGAACATGTGTATTCTTACTTTTAACCAATAAAATCTTATTTCATTATAAATGTTCACCCACTAGCTTCAATTCAGTAAAAAGTATTTGTGAATAATAATCTAATTCGATAGATTGTTGATGCCACCACTCTATAATATCCTTTTTTTTATTTATTAACCAATGCACTTCCTCTGATTTATAATTTTTATCAACTTTGATGCCATTGATTTCACCATCTTCTCCCCACGAAAATTCAATCCACCCGCAAACTGTATTAATTATCATATTAATGCAATCCTGAAACTCTTCTATTTAAAAAATTAATCAGTGAATGATTAAACTTTTTTATTAAAAAAAAAACCACAAAATTATACAAATCCATTGTATCGAACATATTCATTTCCTCCAACTTAATATCTTCACCATACCTGGAAAACACATAATAAAAATTAGTTAAGGCTTAATATGTGTATAATAATAAAGGTTCTTTGTGTCCATTAATGTTAAAAAGGATACAGCAATAATAATTAATAATTTTCAGTTTTTTTTCTAACATTTTATTAATCTAAAGATGTATGCAAATAATTTAAATTGCAAGATATATATATCAGCCAACTCAAGATAATATTTTAATGTGCTTACTGTTCTTGATTTTCTTTTGACAAGGAGGTTGCTTCAATTTTTTTTTGAGGACTAAAAAAAAAGAGATTAACAAGATTTTTCTATTAGAAAAGTTCTTAAATTTCCAAACTAGAGTGACGACGAGTGGCGGGCGATAACCACCACTACCATCCTTAAAACACTTGTGTTGTCCTTTGACATTTTCTCGAATTTTCTTTTCGAATGACATTTTTAAAGAAAATAAAAAAAAAGAATTTGTTTGATCGACAAACACGTCATTAATTATTTATCCTATTGGTTTTTTTTTGGTAGGACAGACGCGAATTGATTTTTTTTTTTTTTGGAAGTCCAAGGTGACAAAACGTGAACGTTGTTGTTTGGTTTGGTTTGGGTCTCCTAAAGAAAAGGTGTTAATAACTAACCAGAGGTACTTTTTTTATTTGTATTGATTGATATTTTTATTTTAGTTTATAAATATTTTAATTGGAAATCAAAACGCGGAGCAGATCATTGCTGGGTAATTATAAGATTCTTATCAACAACGAACGATTGGTATTTGGCTTTTCGTAATCATTAATATTAATAATATTAATTATAATATTATAATTACAAGAAGATGTCAAGGCAGCATTGACTGTTGAAAAAGAAACAATTTCGAAATGTGATGTTTGATTATCGGAAAATAGCAGACGTTGAAGCACTCACGCTGCCTTGAACACATTAGTCATTCTCATCTTCCTCGTGTGCACAAGGCTAATCTGACTTGCCTCCCCAATGATACAACAGTCTGGGATTATACCATAAATGGAAATTAATTCTAGAATAATTTACATTCACTCCTCGAAATTTAATTGCCTTTGACGATCTTTTCTACAAAAAAAAAATCACGACATTCTTGTAAGCCCAAAAAAGGTACACATCATATAGTAGTACCATATTTTTATAATATCAACAAGCTCGTCTAAATACACAGTTTAATAATCCACTTTAATCCACAAAGGTTTACATATTAGTTTTTTTTTTAATAAGAGACATGTTTTGGCTTGAATTTTCAGTTATTTATTATTTTTTTTTATTTTTTT